GGCAGCTTGCATATGAAGGATGGATTCAGGGGAGAAGACACATGTTGTAGTAGGAGACTCCTCCATAAATGCAAAAATTGTCATGGGCTCAGAGAAATCTGGGGCAGGGTCATGCCTGGAAAAGTTTATTGTGTCTTGTAACAGTCATTAGTTTTTGAAATAGTTAAAAAGTCTGTGTTGGTTTTCTTTACAGCACAAGAGTCTTCAGAGAAGAGCGTGATACAGCCAAGGTGTCCTGAGAGCTGAGGTGGGGACATCCATCAAGTTGGCACTGGCCCTGGATGCCTCAGGCATCACGGCTAAAAAGTTTCATTTTCATAAAGAGGTGAGAAAACTGCCAGAAATGCTAGAGAAAAGCGGGTGCTGCAGCTTACCAAGGTAGAAGAAAGGCTGAGAGCAGCCAGGCCCAGTCTGACAGGTCCCCAACACCAGCTGGTCCTGGGGAAAATCCACAAGGACTGTGACCACACTAGGCCTGCTTGCAAACAGCCTCTTTAATTATTAAAAAAATTCCCCTTCATTTTTGTCACGTTATTAATGCTACTGAAGGCCTGATGTTTTAGAAATATATTCCAAACAAAGGAACATACTTATCTTTAATAGAGGGTTATACAACTAACACTAATTAGCCAAGAATGTAAGGTAAAAATATTTACCTTTCACAGCAGAGCAACTCTTAAAAGTGATCACAACTGTTCTCTGAGATACACTCTATATAGGGCTGTAAAAAGGACTGACTTCTGATAAGAAATTTTATTTTTCTTTCAAACTGAAATTCAAAATCAAAGCTTTCGGTGAAAATCTGAAGATCAGATTTGCTGTGGTAAGTACAGATGTGAAACCTGTAATTCCACTTAAAGACAATGAGGTTTACTACTAAATTCAGTGGGAATAAGACTAGATGACCTGGCAATGTCTTTGGACATTCCTGATTGCACATTAAGAGCTCGGACTTTGGTGGTTTTTAAAGAACTGTCTCACGCCACTGGACAAACACGATTTGCAGCTCACTTCATAGATGTGCCAGAACCTTTGCAGTCTGCCATGTGAATCCATATTCAAGTGTCAGTGTGTGAAAGGGCTGCTTTAGAGGTAGCATGGGTGAAAACATGAACGAAATTTCTACAGGAGCTGCTCTCAGAGATGAATAATTTTTCTATTTACTTGTTCACTTCAGAAAAAAAGCTGTTGATGGTAAGAGTGCACAGGACTGAAATCAACAGATTTCTTTTTCTTTTGCACACCTGCAGTTCATAACCACCAGAGCTGGTGGTTTTAGTGGGAGAATTTACCTGAAATAAACTGTTGAAACTGACCCCTAGATCCAGATAAGGCAGTGTGTCATCCTCTTCTGTACCTCCAAAGCTTGTTAACTTTAATGGCAATTTAAGGTACACAAACCCAAGCAGCTGTAGCAAGAAGGATTAATAATCTCACTGGTGAGATCCCTTGCCTGACTACTGTTGTCAATCACAGGGTTTTATGTGTTTCTCATTTTCCTTGCCTTTCACGCTCTGAAAGGCCAACTTACTTGTTTATACGATGTGTCATTCAAAAAGCCAATTTGGAAGGTGCGTAAGAGTAATGAGTAAGGTGAACATGACTGGTTTAGAAAGTATCTCTTACAGTGGCTGCTTAACTCTCTTCGCCTTTGTCACAGCAGTTGTGCGCTGCTTGAGTTTTCTCTTCTTTAGATGAGAGACCTGATGTAGCCCATAAAAATTTACTGGAAAGAGGGCGTCTACCACGTTTAATGCCTAATCTGGCACCCTTTGCTTATGCAAATTCAATCAATGGACAAATTCTCTTCTCACAGCGGTTGCACTAATACAAACAACATCAAAGCCGTCCTCAAAGTTGTTCTGAAACAACTCCGGGATCACTGAAATGCAAAGTTTGCCCTCTGACTTCCCATCCCCACCTGCTCGCTCACGTGAGTACGTCGCACAGAAGCAGGCCGTGTGTTTCCACGAGTTACAGGCAACCACATAACTTGCGAAGAGGCGAGCACAGCCAGCCGAGTGGGCTGAGCACAGTCGATCCTAACAAATTACAATAAGAAATGTATCACGCTGCCTGCTGTCAGGTGTAATTTATATCATACCAGAGGGGTGACTGGAAAGCAGGTAGAGGCAGGAACTGGCCATACCTCTACTTGCTCCTGCTGGGCCTGATCTTGCAAGCTGCTGGGAACTCTTCCCTCCCATTGAAGTCAACGTGAACTGAGCTCTTTCAGGACCTAGCAGGATAGGGCCTCCTTTAAGCACTTCTGAAGGACAGATATGATTTAATGGTTTCTCTAATTCCCGTTAGCATGAGATGTCTTTGCGGGTGTATACCCTGATTATACTGATACACAAGTGCACAACCTGAACCTGTCCTTAAACATACTTGCACAGCACAAATTGCAAACTAGAAGTTTATCGAGGATTTTGAAGCACACAGAGAGAAATAGATAAATAAATACAAACAAACAAGAAGATTGCTCTCACAGCTTTCATTTTTACTGAGTGCAAACTGTAGTTTCTGTGGCTCCATCTCTGATTTAGCAAAGCATTTCAACACATGCTTATATGTCTTGCTGAAACAGAATTTATGCACTCATTTAATTGCTTGGATTTGAAGCTTTTAAGCTCATGTTCAAACCAGGAGTTTAATGCCTTATCCAAATAATCCACAAAGTGCTGTATGCAGATGAGTATGGCCATGCCCCTGTTTGTGGCCCTGTGTGTCATCCCCGATCACGAACTAGTAGTGCTTTAGTGATACTGCGAGGTGTCTCACTCACAAAGCCTCCCTCTTCCTCTAGCACCTGTGAGAGCTCCAGGATTGCTCCTGCACCCAGGTCATGGTGGAAACACCCTGTGTCCTTACGGGAGATGCACCCCAGAGCAGAGAACGTCAGCACGAGCTCAACTCGTCCCACCGAAATAACCGTGAGTTTAACTTTCGACTTAACCGGGAACGAGTGCAGACCACACTCAATGGTGGGTGGCCAATTAAGTCTGCTATACAACACAGTGCAAAGAGAAATTTAAAATATAGCTTTGACTCTAAATTTAAGTTCCACACTGTATCCAACTTCGTAACATACACAGCAATATGTAGCAGTGGGAGGTGACGTTGTGGGCAGCTGAGGAAGCAATCAAGCCTTAAAAGATAGCGCAGCAAAGCAAACCTAAGACACTACATGGCAAAACATCCTGCAGCCCATGAGCTCCAGTCAGTCACAGTTTTATACTTTCAATTTAAATAAAAGCACAAAACCAGTAGAAATACGTTTCCATTGTTTTAACAAACAGGAAAAAAAAAGGATGGTTTTAAATCAATACCCTGTTTTTTTTAAATAATAGCTGTGAATTTATGTATATTTTCCCAAGACTTATATAACRGAAGATTTTATTAAATAACTCAGATATAGGGCATTTTTTAAAAACAGTGTCAGCCATGACTTTTAGAATGTGGAAACAGATGTGCTGCTCCATTGCAACTGCTGCATCTTCTCTGTATTTTTTGTACTATGAAACATCCGTCTGTTTTTCTGTGTTATAAATCTCTTCCCACTGAATAGATTTCTTCTCTATGATTAAATAAATAGTGCACAGACTAAGCAAGAATTGTCCAGAAAAAAAAAAAAAAAGTTGTTCGGACCCAACTTTAAGATACATACATTTTAATAATTGTTTCTTTTTCCACAGACCATGTCAACAGCCACCTCTCCTTGGCATGAAATCACAGCCATATGCTTCATGACGTCAGAGGCATTTCAAGGTATCTCCATAAATGCCATTTATTGCTTGGGAAACTACCAAATCTGTGCAATCCCTACTTCTTTCAAAGGAAAAATCCTCAAATTAAAACATTTAATCCTCAAATTAAAACTTTTTTTCCGTAGATTGTCTACACCAAAAATGCTATCTCCTTATTACAATGCTGGCCAGGCAGGTAGCAGAACCTTTGGCAACTAACCCTGCTGGCCAGAGTCCTGCTTTGCTTCTGARCCCAAGTGCCTCCTTTGGCCTGTCTGACAGGCACTTTGATACTGCTCATCTCGCACCTTCTGCTGGCTACACGAGGCACTTAACYGTTCCACAAAGAAACAGCCTGCCAAAAAGCCAAAATATTTCAATGTTTGAGTGTAAATCTAAACCTGTCGGGTATATCTAGCAGAATATGCCTTAACCCTTGAAGCAGTGATACTTTTCCCTCTCCCATGAGAGGCACAGTACTGACAAGGATGCCCACCTCACATAGTGCCCAGCACGCTGCAGATCCCAGACCCGGGTGAATGATGAAGAGCCTGTTACTTATACAGATATTCTCATGCCACTGGTATTCATAATTAGACATATCTGGAGTCTCCTCTGTGATAATACTGATCAGAATGGAATAAGCCTTTACAAACATGTCATTAACATGTTCAGCATAAATCAGTTACCTTTAATCATGCAAAGATTAAACCTAATATGCAGTTGCAAACAAATACATGAAGTCTGCTGGCCACTGTACCCAAACCAAATGACTACAGTGTCGCTGCGGCTGATACCAGCTGAGAATAGAGCCACAACTGATTTTAGGGTTTCTGTCAGCCGACAGGAGCCTCCCTTAGCCCCAAGGTCATGGAGCTGTTCTGCTTTCTTAAAAGGAAAAAAAAAAAAAAAAACTCTTTATTTTTACTCTGAAATAAAGAAATTGCTTGGTATAGCTGTAAATAACCTAGGACAGGCACACCAACAGGTGCTTTAGACATAACGATATAGTGCAGATGTTGAGAAAGAAAGCAAATAGATTCTCTAAATAATATATAAATTTTGCAGGTTTTTTTTTCCTATAGAATCCTGGTGAAGTTAATGTATAAATCGGAAGCTGAATTATTCATAAGTGGTGAATATATAATAAATCGTCTTTCACATTGAAGTATTCCTCACAGGTCCACGCATATTTCCATGCAGTGAAAAGGAAGAGGCGGGGGGGGGGGGCTGCAAATGCCAGGCTCTTACCTGGAATCCGGATACTTGGTCAGGGTGGCCAGGCTGCTGGTGTACATGTGTCCTCCTACGTCGATGTGCACGGGGGCATTCGACTTGGTGAGCTGCGCCGGGAGAGGAATTCCTTGAGCAGCCAGAGGAGAAACTGGGGACCGTGTTAGAGACAGACGGGACATGCTTCTTCCCTCCTGGAAATGGAAGGCAAAAAAGAACAGTTTCTCTTAAATGTAGCAATGTGCATTACCTTTATTTCTAGTGTGATCACAGATCTAATCAGATCATTTTTGCATCTGCCTGATCACATATTCAGCTAACAAATTATTGCCACCACTGTAATTAAGTGTATTTGCATCATTTTCTTCAAAGTACCAGAGGGGAAGAGAAAGATGCTTATTAGCAATAAGAAATCAAGAAAAAAAAATTTCAAGGTGTCAGCCTCAAGGGGCATAAAACAAACTGCAAAATTCTAATTAAAGGTCGCGGGCTTATGTGTTAGATGTGAAATATCCCCTGACAAACGAATAACCAATTTGTGAATTGGGATTCAGGGGGTTTTGCAAGTTTGTCTCAGTAACGAGACACCTCTAAATTAGTGACTTCCTCAGCACCTAAGGCATTTAGTTTATACATGTAGTAAATTTCACATCAAACTAAGATCAATTTTATGTTTTTTAGTAATTGTGAAATAAATGGATAATTTTTGCTTAACTCTTAATATTAGATATAAAGGACTAAATAAGCTTTTAAACCGAAGGCAATTGATACCTGCAAGCAGGGAAAACAGAAAGACATGTAAACTGATCCATGTTTTCATGCCAAGAAGCATTAGAAACTACTACCCAATCGGACATGTGAAATTACAGATAAAACATTTCAACAATCCACTTAATATTTTCTTCACTAAAAATATCTGAAAATCAGTTAAATTGCTGAATTGAGTACAGAGATCTTCAGCTGACATAAAAATAAAAAAAAACCTTAAAAATAAAAAGGAATGCTAAAAAAAATCAATTTTCTTCAGCAGTAAAAGCACAGCTTATTTAGCATTAAATATTCTGTCTCGTGAAGCTAATTTAAGTTAAACCAGTACAGACAGCATATATGTCAAATGGAAAAACACTCGGTCTGTTATAAGTTGAAGAAAATGTCCATCCTTTCTCCCCCTTATGGGTAAAGCAACATATGCAAAACATTATAGTCGAAGACATTTTTGAATATAATCTAATTTTCTTGGTATTTTGTTTTGCAAGCATGCTACCAAACATGCAGACTCTTCCTTACATCTGACAAGCACTTTACATACAGTATTACCAAGTGAATTTCATTTCTCCCACATTACTTGGAGCGTGTTTCTCTGAATGCTAAAGCTGCTCCCTCCTTTCTTTCAGCAAGAAGTATTCTGCACAAGAGCCCGGCTACACCGCTTACAACACACAATTAGCAATATTCCCTCTTAGAAAAAAAAAAYAATAATCTAGCTGAACTATAAAAGGATTGAATAATCTTAACACATCCGGACAGCTTCACAAGCCCTCACAGCATCCCCCTCTCCTGCCTGCATCCAGCTCGGCCCGTGCGAGGTCTCTGCCTCCCCAGCACAGATACATCACCCCATTGTGAATCCACATGGCTCGCTCCCGGCCGGGCACCGCAGCCAGCACGAAGCGCTCGCCAGCTCCGTCCTAGGACTTCTGTGGCAGGCGCTGGGAAACTGGCACCAGCGTTCTCGCTGCAGCACCACCTTCAAGGAAAGGGAGTGAGTCCTTTCATGCCTAAGATGCTGCTTTCTTGTTTCCCACAAGAGCCTGTTGTGGGCAAGCTTTAGCAAATATGCTATATGCCATAAATAAAAGAGCTAACTTTCAGAAACAACTTAGCATGTAAGTACCTACAGGATCTGAGCACCGTGTTTACTAAGCTCAGGGTGCCTCATCTGTCTAGCAACAGAGACAAAGATGCTTTTATCTTACCAGAGAGCAGTGTAAACTCATGCTCCCTCTCTATGCCTCCACTTAAAGGAAGGGGTCAGAAGACACGGGCTGAATGTCAACCCTGTCTTTGTTCAGACCCTAACTATTATTGCTAATGATAAAGGTGCAGACCCTGCGCGGCACAGGGCTGCCTTAGCTACATGTCTCGTGCAGTTTCACAAAACAAGTGCCTAATTAAGACTCATCTGCACCCCTTGTTACCATTCCTAAATGAAATCAAAGGACGCGGAGCCCTCTGTAAATGAGTCTTACATTTGGCCATTTGTCTGGAAATGCAGGCTTCAATTTTAAAATATGCACAGATAGCTAAAGATCAAGTGATCTTCAATCTATTTGTGCATATTTAAGCATAGCTGCTATCTTAGGATTTTGTTTAATGTTAGTATACCAGTAAATTTCTTGATCTGTAAAGTGTCTGAGATGCTCAGAGAGGCCCTACTCACACACTAGATATTTAATTTATACTATTCACTGGAGGGACCTTTTGAACAATTCTCTGCTTTTGGTTTCTCTCAGCTACAGCATGTGTTGAAAAAAACACTTAATTATAGAAAATCACTGAAAAGCTAAAACAGTTCTCAAACTTCTATGGCTTTTCATACTTACTAAGGATGCTACTGGTTTTTGGGGGGCTAGGGCGAAGAGGAATTAAAACACATGCTTTTTCCTTGCATAGARAGGATTTGTATTAAAAAAATAGAACCCAATGTGTTTACTAAAGTTATGCAGTTCAATCATTTTTGTATGACTCAATTATGAAAGGGTGTAATTGTTACACACTACATACTGGCCACTGAAAACAATTCTATTTCTCCTCCCACCCWCCCCCAAAATCTGTATTTCTTAAGGTGCCTCAACCCTATTTCTAATGGCTCTCTACTCTTTTTAATGTAAAACACTGATAAAATTCATCACATCAAGTAATGTACTTATTTTATGCACAAAGCAAAATGCTCAATGTATTTACCCAGAGAAAGTCTTTATGGACATATTTTCTAATACTGATGTGAAAATTAAAACCTTACGGGTAAATATTGCAAAAGCACTACCAAACTTCATTTATGAAACCATGTAAAATAGCACTGCCTCCTCTTTAGCTGCCTACAACAGGATACAGCATCCCAACTAGTGGCACGAGCAATAACCCTGCTCTAATAAGTAACACAGGAACCTGCTAAAGGCAAAATCAATAGAGGCTGATTCCCAAATTATCTGAATATTTAGTTTTTCAAACATTACACGCCAAGATCTTCCAGAGCCAGCTTATCTTTTTCTGCCTTTCTAAGCTAACTGCATAAGTACTGCTTGTAAAAACTATTTGCCCATGCAAAGTGAAATAATCACAATGCCATGCTCATTTACACACAAAATGATTTTGTGTCCCATTGTGCTCACAGTTGTTCAGCTCTCTAGGGGTGATTAAACTAGCTATGCTGCTACAGCTTGAGATGATTTCACTGAATCGTTTCTCCATGAAGTTGCTTCTTTGCTAAGCTGTTATTTTAACCATAAAAGGTAAACAGAAGGCAGTTGTAAGAGCTCCATTCAGCTCCGTGCCCAGGGCTATAACCCTGGGGCAGAGAATGCTGAAAGACTGCAGAATTTTCCAGGGTGTTGCCTTTCTTGCTCTAAAGCCTTCAGGAATACTGTTCATTTAATACACACTCTAGATGATACATTTCAGATCCTACTAAAAGAAAGACTTCAAAAGTGTAAGAACTTTTGGGCGGATGAAGCTTTCCCACCTCTGCACATAGCTCGGGGCCATGGTAACCAATACTGCTGTTGATGTTGGGAAAATACAGCAGAAATAAACTGCACCGAGCCGAGCAGACAGATAGGGACAAGGGAGGTGAAAGGTTGCAGGGAAGAAACAAGCAGCAGTCTGGAAGGGTAAGGAGAGAAAAGGGGAGAGAATGAAAAAGGAGGCAGCTCTGAAGGAGGGACAAAGTTAAATCAAGGAACAGGCACTTAAAAGACTACAGATGGGAGGCAAGACTAATTAAGGATGTAAAAGCGCTTTGTTTCTAAAGTTTATTGTTGCCAGGATAAAAATTAATTGAAACTAATGCTGTTATTCACTCGTGCAGTTTAATTCCTTCATGCACATTTAAGACATGAAATGAAAACTGCAGGTTTAAGGACCTGCCGGGAAGCAGCTCTCCCTCCCGCGGGAGCGGAAGGGGCAGCTCGGGCCCGCGTGCAGCCGGCGCGGTGGCTCCCACGGGCACCACGTCCAGCGAGCGGCGGGACCGCAGCCCCGTCTGCCAGGAGAGCAGCACCAGCATCTGTTCCCTGACTGGTTCCTTTATTGGATTCTCGTTGAAGCTTTTTTTTTTTTTTTTTTTTTTTTTTTTCCTTCCCCTTTTCCCCTCCCCAGAGCCCTTTATTTCTTTAACAGCAGCTCTATGGCAGCCCTGGGAGCAAAGTCACCCACTGCGGCCCCTTGACCTGCCCATCCCCGGCGCTGCTGGGCAGCAGCCAGGCCCCGGAGCGCGGCGGGCGCTGCCGCCACCGCGGGGCACCCACAGCCGCAGGGGCTCGGCTCCCCGCTCCCAATTACCTTTGTCTCCATACACCCGCACTGTGCGCACCGAGTCTGCCTCCTAAGCCACTTGCAGACAATAGTTTATGCCGTGATCCCAGCCTAGAGACAAAGAAGGGACTGGGTTACTCGAAACCTCTGGCCAGATGGCTCCAAAATTCAAAGTCCATAAACATTTGCACACACACACACACCTCCGCGCTGGCTCGCCAAGCACGGCACCCACTGACAGGGAAGATGGTGCCCAAAACTTTTACAGAAGAGGGGGGTTGCTCGCTGGGGAGCCAAGGCTAACAAAAACATAAAAAGAAAAAAAAAAAGAAAAAAAGAAAGGAAGCGAAAAGGCTTTCTCTTTTCTCTTCCCCCAGCCCGCCTGTCTCTGGCGGTCCCCAGTCTATTTAGTGCAAGTTTCACGTCATGCAAACGCCTTCCCCTGCTGATGGTCAGAGAAATCACCAGTGAGCGACGCACCCCGGTCACCGAACTTCTGCCTTTTCCTTTGGAACACGCCGGGTGCCCAAAGGTAAAAAATCAACCACAGGAAAAAGAAAAAAAAAAAAAAAAGGCACAACATGGCGTCCTTTACTTATTCTCACATAACAAGAAAGGAGATGTCTTAGATGAATGCAAAAAGAAAAATAAATTATAAAGAAAAAAAAGCGCCCTGCTCCCGCTGGTGCGGCGCAGCCCGCGGCGCAGGCACCGCGCAGGCACCGCGCAGCCCGCGGCGGGAACTGCCGCCCGCGCGGCCGCCGCGGCGCCCCGCGCCGCCACTTTCCCTGCGCGCCCGCCCGCGCAGCGCTGCGCGCCTCGCCCTTTGCCGCCCGCCGCCCCTTTGTGCCGCGCAGCCTCCCCGCCCGCCCGCGCGCGCGTACCCTGCGAGCGAGCGCGCAGCCGCCGCCGTCCTCAGAGCCGCGGGCGCGGAGGGAGCGCGGGCAGCGCGGGCCGCGGGGCTCCGCCGGCGCTGCCCATGCTGGCGCGGAGCAAAACACAACATAGACGCGCGCACTGTGCGCACACACACACACACACACACCGCGTGCACACGCGCGCGCGCGCGCACGGCGGCGGCTGCAAGCGGCTCCTGTAGCTTTAACAAAACCCCCCTCGGCCGCCGCTGCCTCCGCTCCGGAGCCGAGCGAGTTTCCAGAAGAGGCACTTTCCAAAAAAAAAAAAAAAAAAAAAAAAAAAGGAAGAAAAAAGGCGCGCCCGGGATGCAGCGCCGCGCCGGGCCGCGGATGGAGCGCGCCGCTTGCGCCGCTTGCTTACCTTGCGCGCAGGAGCCAGCTGCGAGCCCCGCGCTTCGGGCTCGGCGGGGCTGCCTGGTGATGGGCTCGCTTTGGGCTTTTATTACTATCTTTGCTCCTCAGATCCTGCTGTGATTATTATTATTTTTAAAGCTTCTCGCTCCCTCTCCCCTCTCTCGCTCCCTCGTTTTCTTTTTCTTGTTTTTGCTGCTTCTTTCTGTTTATTTGGTGTGTGTGCGTGTGGATGTGTGTGTGTGAGGGGGGAAAAAGCCTTTAAATGAAACTGCCGAGGCTGTTATGAGAAGAAAGGCAATAATCCCGTCTCTAAATAACAGAGGGAAGGGAGAAGAGGAGGAAAAAAAGCGAATTCTTGCTCAGGGCTTTGCAAACGCCTGCAGGGCAGAGGATTAGGCTACAATTAGCTCAGCCCTTTGCTCTCGCCCGAGCTAATTTTGCGATGAAAATTGGATATTTTTCCCTCCTTTCGGTGAAGATTTCCAGATTTATTTCACCCCCCCATACACACCAGAAGGAAAAAATAATAATAATACAACCCTTGAAAATGAAATAAGACTGGGAAGGCGCCCCAGCCCGCGCCCCCGGCGCCGCCGCCCGCAGAGCCCCCTCCGCGCGGCGCGGGCGGGGCCGCAGCCCGCGCAGCCCCGCGGAGCCCCGCGCAGCCCGGCCCGGCCCGGCCCTGCCGGGGATAACGGTTCGGTGCTGGGGAGGATCAGGCCACTGTCACGTCCTTCAACAGA